TCCGAGCTGGTATTTCATGGGATGGCTGTTCAGCAAACTCTTGAGCAGTCTCAACCCAGACTCACAGCATAAAGCTAATTATGAGTCTTGTTCTTGCCACAGGGATGACTGGAGCAGGAAGTAAGAATGCTGTTACTGGTATAGAAGGTCTTCTCTTCTGAGTTAGGGATTAATACACATTAGGGTTGGATGGTGTACAGGGATCTTTAACTCTCCATTGAAATACTCTGGGCAGCACCTGATGCAATGGTAACACTCATTGCTGAAAGTGTCATTTTCCAGAACTGAAATTGCTCAACATTTTAGCTCGAGGTGAGGATTTACTGTATTTTCTATTTTGGGCTCATTTTATTTGACAAGTGCACATAAGAGTATGCACTATACGTGCTGCTCCCTTAGTGAGAAGCTGTTTTAAAATGCACAATAGAACTGCCAGCTAGTCCCAGGCAACTGCATAGAATGAACCTTGATTAGAAAGTGCTTGGAGATGAAGCAGCTCCAGTTACAAATAGTAAAGTATTGATAGATACTATTGTAAGACATCATTCGAGCTGTTTTATTTACACCAGAATTAAAAATCACTTACACTTTAATTATTAGACAGTTTAATAATTCACATTCAAAAGCAATTAAAGGGTATCTTGCTCTCTTTAAGAAAAGGAACATTCCCTTTAAAACCTAACAAGGGTAAAGATTGCCGGCTAAAACATGTTGCTGGGTGTTATTGATGAGGTTCTCTGATCACAAGCATTCCAATGTACTCTACACAGGGAGCTTTCAATTGTAACTTCAAACATACCTCCTCTGCAGGTTTGGAGTCACTCGAATGATCAGTCATTGTGGATTAATAAGTTATTACCAGTTTGGCTTGTTATGTTAGGAAAGCTGTGGGCCAGAAAACGTTGTTAGAATACACCCATCGTTGCATTCTCTCTCACTGAAAATGCTAGTTGGAAGAAGAAATCTATAAGATTGATGAATGAGGATACAGATCAAGAGCTCGTTTATCTAGTCCTAACACTGAAGCTTTCAAGAACTTCCACTTATAAGAATTTCTAAAGTGTAAAAGTCTGCCTGATATTAGGTCATTTGTTTTATTCTTTTTTTACATTGGGCAGATGGATGGTACAGTCTGAACTACAGCCTTCTAGGCTACCACCATCAATATCACTCGATGATAAGCTGTCAAGAGGTGACACTGGGGCAGGGAACACCCTATAGCAGTTCTTCCTTAGTGCTCCTTTGGGGACTGATCAAGTCAATACAACTGATTGAAGCATCAAGCAGCTTCAGGGCTCAGCTGTGATTTTCAGGTCCAGGCATAAATACATCTCCAATGGTTGTATTGAGCCCACCCAATAACACAGAGAATAAAGACGAATGCAAACAAAATTAACTTTTATTATATTTTGGCATTTGTACCTTGAAGGCACATACTGGACTTCATTTTTGCAAAAGAATTCAATTACAGGAAGCACAATCTTCTCTTATCTTACATATCCTGGCAGAAAGAAGCTCCTTTCACAGAAAGGATTATTTACAGTTTGTGCAATCATCATTTTAAAGGATATAAAATGTTACAATGTTTAATATACTGTTGTCCATTTTTTTAATAAAAAACTGATGAATAAATCCTAGTTTTGGAATAAATAACCATTTCAATGTTTCACTACAGTCCAAATGTTATAAAATTTGCTGGACAAAACAAAATCCAAATTATTAGGTCCAATTTATATAAAGCCCATGAAAATAATTAACAAAAAAACAAGACTAAATATATAACTGAAAGGGATGTGGCTTTTTTTTTGTAAGACTAACCAGCTTATTGGCTAAAAAAAAACATGTTCTAAACATAATAAATCTTCCCCAGGAGGAATTTAAAGAGGATGCACCTGGAGACCGATGTAACAGAAAACCTCTCCCTACAGTGGCCCATCCTATTGCCATAACCTACTTGCAGCTTCAATTAGTTGTGGATTAGCATGGAATGAGTCATAACTGGCGCACTTTCCACATCTCATAAATCCCAAATGCAAGTCTATTTATACCAGAAACAATCCGTCGAATTTTATTTAATTTTGTTTGTTAATCTGCAAGGGATCAGACTTTGTTTTATGGAATTCTCCCAGATGCCTTAATTGATCTGGAGTGCCAATAGATAACACACAAGTACTGCAATTTCTGATCTTTTTACCAGAGTTTTCCCAAGAGCACAAGAAGCGCCCAAAATGGTGCGAGGGCCCATCTTTCACTGACAAAGTGACACATCATTAGCAACTGGCAGCTAGGACAAAACCCAACAGTCCTGAAACCATACGTTTTGAAAAAGGTTCTTTCAAAGGATCTTATGACAGCGGTTGTTGCTATATCCGATTTTGTTTCGGATGCATTGGTAATTATCAGTTAAGACAAGAGAACAGTGAAACAATAATACTTCCCGTTTAAGATTCTGTACAGACTGTTCAGTTATGTGGGTTTGTTTTGTCGAACAATTAACTTGCATTACACTCGATGCCCATTTGTAGAATTCTGTCAGATGGAGCTAGGCATTTACTGTATATGATTTATGCCCGCACAGAAAACAAAATGTACATGTTAACTAAACAGCAAGAACTGGTCTGGTGGGGATTTGCTTATGTGATACCTAATGACAGCTGTTTAAGCTTCTATTTCAAATTGTTACTTGATTCTGGTGCATTCCTCCGACATGCAGAACTAGTACAGAATTTTGGCAGTTCTCTATATACATAATTCTGTATTCTCTAACATGCACGCTAAAGACTAAAGCCAATTTTTTACTATAATCTTGGATAGCTTGTGGAGATGCTGGATTTTTTCTGCCGCAGCATTTTCTATTAACCACCTCATCGCCATTAAAACAGGTTGAATTTCAATCTTGACCCCTTCCCCCACCTCGCCTGTATCTTGAGCGAGAATCCCGCAGTTCATGTTGAACCTGTGCCACATTTCCAAAAAGGTAACACACCACTGTGAATGGCAATGTTCACCATTCGGGTTCAAATCTGGATTCATGACAAGCGCCTCCAACGTTCTTCATACAAGGCAAGTCCACACATTCACTGAGCAGCATTGTATTGATTCCATAACCAAGTAAAGTTATGTGGATTTTTGCCAGTGCGCCTGCTAATGGCCTCTGTCTAAAAGGACACTCGGTTAGTTGCCATACCTTTGTGCTATTATTGTCAGCGTTATCACACCATAAGCTCATTGATGATAGGAGAATGTTAGGGGAGTTTGAAGAACTGATCAAACAGGAAGTTAACCTTAAATTATAAGGTGAGTATTTAAACCGCAGCTACAGGTTTGATCTAACATCTGGACATTTTGAGCAAGAAGATGATAGCAGTCACTGGTTATTTTCAATTCACAGCTGTGAAGTCTCGCACTGGTTAGTCAGTGACCTTAACAGAAGGGCTTAAGGTCATCCAGAGAAGAGGTTTGAAATCCCATCCATAACTACCCAGTGAGGCAAACACTCTGTAAACAGTGGCCCAATGATTCATGTATTAGTGGCAGAATCAGTGAAGAGGTTTAGCCTTACAGAAACAGACAGAATTACGTTAAGAACCTCATCGGAAATTTTATGTGAAGTGACAATTGCACCCTCGAGTCCTGCAGAGATGTTAGAAATCTTCACACAGAGGCGAGAGAATGGAGGTCAATAATCCTGAATCTCCATAGAGTCAACCCACATTCCTCAACAACAGTTTTCCCTTACAATTAGAATCCCATTGAACTATCTTTGATGTATCAGTTTATAATACTGTTTTATGATAGCTAAGGATTGTCATAATACTGCTCAACGTTGCACTGCATTTTGACATCTACTTGTTTAATATAATTTCATGTAAAAATATCAGTTATATAAAAATACCAATAAAAACATATTTCATATCAAAAAATATTTTAAGAAACTATTCCAGTTGCAGAAAACGCTGCTAAATGTTAAAATATGGCAATTGATAATGGATTGCAAAAGGCTGTGTATCAGAATGGAAATGTTAATTACGTGATGATCAAGCAAGTGTGTCTCGCAAATTTAATCTCTCCTAAAAGTCCATTTCTGCTTCAGAGACAATGAAAATATTACCTGTTGTTAACGAAATGTAAAAGATTTCTTGTAATATGTTCAATTAATTCCCTTGTCATCTATTATGTTCACCTGACATAACTCTATAGACATCTCCTGCTTATGGGATCTTGCTCATTCTGGAACTGTAAACCCTTCATTAATAGGGTACATCTGAGCAATTTCATTCTTCAATGTGAAACTCAAAAGAAACCTTGATCCGATTTACCTTGATCTGCATCTTCATCACTTTCTGGCAGAAAAATCAATGTTTAACAAATTGACATTTACCCACAGTGACCTGAACTGTGCTCATCAAAGCATTTGGTAATACAAGATCAAATGCAACAGAAATGTAGACTAACCTATGTGGATCAAATGACTGAATATAAACGAATGTGTCCTTTCTTGCATATGACTCTTTTCTGCACTCGTTTCAATAAAAGTGACCATAGCCCCTGGGATTAATGGAACTTAAAGAGAGTCCATTTGCACTGCCCACCAACTGACTCTTTGACAAACTGATCACGTAAACAACCATTCTCTCTCAAGTCACTCACAGGCACCTGACCTACAAATACAGAAAACCTTCACTCTCTTTACTCTGACGAGGGAACTTACCAGTTACTGGAACTGCAGCAAAACCCAGTCAGGTCAACTCTGGGAATCCATCTGCAATTCCACATTTCACCAAAACAAGTTTAGTGACAGCCTGCATGCTGTAGTAAAATTATGATACACACAAGACAATTATTTATTGCCCACAGGATCTGTTACTTTGGTATGTAAGATCCCGGTTTTACATCATTGGGAGGGAGTGAGAGCCAATGGCCACATGGGACATTTTTGATTGTCACTGCAGGTGACACACACACACACACATCTAACGAACAAAAGTAAAGGCACCAAAAAGATTCATAAATTTAAATGAAGGAGCATGATGTTGCAGAGTTCATAGTACCTAAGGCCAGGCCCACATCTCTATTGAAACTCTTGGAAAAAGTTGATCAACAACATAGTAATTGCACGTCTAACACACAATTGTTAAGAACCCTAAGGGTTTCCTAAATAACTTGAATGATTTTCTTTGATTTAAAAAAAAAGTTTGTTTGAATAAACATCTCGGTTTGTGTAATACTGAGTTGTAATACTCCAAACATCATGGATTTGTTGCTCCACAGAATAGTCAATGTGCAAAGACTTTTCACTGGCTAGTTGATAGGTAAACCTTCTTTCTGTGTCTCTCAAAAATATACACATCCTCATCACAGTTCTGATTCTTATTTAACATATCTCTTTGGCTTCTTGGTGTCCATTGCTTTTATCACTTGTCTTTGTTCGGAAACTTGGAAGAACCGCAGGATATAACTGTCTGCTTGTTGGGCTGTCAAGATTCTCAGCTTGGCACTGAAGCGTAGGCAATGGCTTTGGAAGGTCATTGTGAATGAAGTAGGCAGCCAGGCCTACAGTACAGTACAACAACTCAATGCATAGTTGAAGCTCAGTGTTCAAACCACAAACTCAGGAACCGATTCATCACCTGTAAGGTCCAGAGATGAATATTTACTTGTTCGTTTGACTACGAAGGTGTCCTTTGTAGAAGTGTACTGCTCTGCCAAGCAACGGTTACAACAGTTACCTTCCTCGATCAGGTCATGAGTACAGCCAAAGGTGTAGCTCTGGGCAGTGTCTTGGCACAGGTTGGCTATTTCCAGAAAGTCCTTCTGGTAAAGACGAATGTCATCCAAACTTTGACTGTGCCGGTCTGTGGAAGTCTTTGGTTTTCTGCACACGGTCTATATAACAAGAGCAAACATATCAATCATAAGTATAATTTCATTCAAATGTTTTCTTAGCAATGGTCAGTAATGAAAAGGCTTCCTTTAATCCTTTTACTTTGAACATGTGTAGCAAGTAAAGGAACAGAATCAAAAATAAAATTCTGATTGAAACACTGGAAAAGTTTAGTGATTCGGTGCAACATGCAAAAAACAATTGAAGTCAGTAACTTTTAGGTGAATCTGAACTTTGCAACCGGATTTCTTCATACAAGTGATGTTATTTTCAGGAAAATTAAATGTTTTTTCAGCTGAGAAGCTCATAGACAGTTGGTAACATCCAATGGATACTAACTGGTCTAACTCCACAAACATCTGAATAAATATAAGTGTACTTCGACTCAACAGTAAAGTATCAATTTCTCTCAACTAACGTTGCTTTATGGCCAGTAGTTTTTTTAGTCGGTACCTTGAAATTGTTTCCCCACAGCAAAAATAAAATAGGGTTAATGCATATAGTTCAGATCTTAAAGGAGTTGGCTGTCTATTTTGTGTCTTTTTGTTTCATTTGAATTCTAATCCTATCAGTGTTAGAAGGTAAACCAGAACATACTTTGATTAACGGAAAATTTAAGGGGAAATTAATTCTCTTTCAGATACTCTAACAAAGAATACAGCCGAAAGCCAGAGTGTGAGAATAAGATTTTCCCTTCCCAGTTTAACTTCACACAAGCCAAGAAAAGATTTGAATGTTTCAAACATGAGCTGAGGGGCTGGGATGCTGAAGAGCAATGGACATTAGAGCAAGCAACCAATCCACAGTAGGGCGAACAGTGATCCATGATGGGGTTGAGCAGTAAGCCCATGGGAAGGTGAGCAGGAACATACCCATTGGAGGAAGCATCAAAACATGACAGGCTGAACTGTATTGGATGCTGAGTCAGTCAATGTGCCTCAATAACTGCAACATAATTAGGTTTGATTCATATACTGTCATATATTCATATATATTCATAACACTCACAATGCAGGTTTGGTGCTGTCTCGGGGATATTCAAAGAACTGCGTGAATCAATGTTCAATCTCCAATTTAATGCAATGGAATATAATAATGGTACAGCGGTTGGGCTGCTTGTTTTTTAATCATTCTCTTATGTAGCCAAGAATGAAGAGTTGGAAAATAATATTGACTTTTATTCACTGAAAGGAATCCTATAATGTAACTGACTATTTTATCATAGAAGGCTTTCAAATTCTGGTTAAGTTCATAGCGTGTAAGTGAAAGTTTGCTGTTTTCAACTTCTGTATTTGTCAGTCATTCATCAATCAACCTCTCAAAAGAAAACAAAACTTCAAGCTGCTGCACTGGAGAGCAGTGAAAAGCCCTATTTGTTATTTTGCCACGATAATCTCAGGAGCTATTTTTTATTATTTAGACACGATAAGTATCTAAAAAGGCTTCTGTATAAAACAGTTACTTTGCCTCTGAAGGTGATCATCTTCAGGTGACTGGCTGTATAAATCACTTTGTGTAAGTGAAAGGGTTACAATCTGACATGACTGATCTAAAGCAGGAAATTGCTTTCCCCTCCCCAGCCCCGACCTCCACCCCTGTAATCAGATTGACTCCCATGTCACAACCGAGCTATTACCCGAGTAAACACTGAGTGTCAACAAGATGCAGGAAGAGAGGAAATAGATTATCTGATGCTACAAAATGTATTATTAAACAAAAAAATTGTATGCAATGCACCATCCATTTTTTAACACATGTTCAATGATTTTAAAAAAATTTACACAGAGTAACAGATGCAGCTTCGGAATACAATTGTGATGTCAGGGGAATAAACCCACCTGTGGTAAAGAATCTATACTTTGGCCATGAAGTTTTACCACTGTTTCAGAAGAACTAGAAGTAGACGAGCTCAGCTCCCTCACAATCAGACCTGCATTGAATAAAACAGATCCCATGAGTGCCTAGTGGTACACAGCATTTATAGACATCAAATTGCGAGGCTTTTGAAGAAAATAACCTTGCAAAGAAAGCCATACACAAGACATTTGTGCTACTCTGCAAACCAAGACTTTTTTTAAAATATATTTTCGTTCCTGCTGGATCTGTAATTGGTAACTATCACGCAATAGCAAAAAGGAGCACAAAACTGGTTTGCACCATTAGAGCTGTCAAAATACATTCAGATGAAAGCTTCGATATTGACCTCCAGAAAAGTGTAAATGCATTTTCTGCACAAATAAGATTTTAAATACAGAAAGATTTTTCACCTGCTTTACTGTTTGTTTCTCCTACAGAGGCAAAGTTAAAGGAATGTGAACATTGTGTATATTGAAAACTATTCTGCTTTGGGCGAGCTCTCATTTATTCTTGATGTGACCTCCTTTGTTCTTTACCCAACAACTGGTCTGTTAGTGCAAACCAGTTTTATGACCATTTTTGCCATTGTGTGATGTTTACTGATTACTGCACCTCATACCTGTGCTGTTTCTGTCTATCAAACATTGAGAACAAGCAAACCAACTAAAGTAAATAATGTAGGGAAACCTACAGACTCCAGGAGCATTCAATACCTGCACTGATCGTAATCACCTCGTCAGGCTGCTTAGACCAGGCGCACCTCCTATTGACTGAGACTATTTACAATACATTTTGAAAAACGTTAGGGATCGATTTTCTCTTCAGCCATATAACCAGGTGAGGCTGCTCACAACACTGAGTAAATGTGTTGTTAAGATATATTATTTTGGGCAAAAATGTGGCCAGTTAAAGGCACAGAAAAGAAACCCATGGCTTAGCTGATGAAACCAATGCTTAAAATGAAAGTAAGCTATTCAACACAGACCATGAGTTAAGTCAGGGTGGCAGTAAGAGCACTACAGTTGCCTTCAATAGTCTGAGGCTGGTGTAGGAAGAGAATAATAACTACAACAGCAACAACAATTTTCATTTATATAGCGCCCTTCACGCCGGACGGTGTCTCGTAGTATCCTTCTCTCCCTCCCCACCATTTGCTATCAAGTAGCCCCCGCTAAAGTGCACACCTCTGCTCTACTGCAATTACTTGCATTAGTTTGAAAGGCTGGATGCAGCAGGAATGCACTTTGACCACTCACCAGCGTGTCCGTTAAATTGCCTCGACATTAACATCTCCTCAGTGATGTGAATGCACATGTCTGGGCTAACCTCTGGGGACAGTTCATTCACGCGCTCCAGGTCCTTGGGGTCATCAACCAGCATTTCTATTTCTGGGACAAAAACATTAACTTCAGCGCACGGGCAGAGGATTTGACCAAACAGCCCTTTAAAATCAACCAACTTAGGCTAAGCAATCATCCAATGCAGTGAGGAGCTTGAAGTATAAATCAAAATTCCCTCGATACATTGCTCCACTACTAAACATAAACGTAATATCTAGTAAGAGCAATAGTCATTAATCTTGAAGAGGTATTGCTCTCCTACTCATGTGTTTCATAGCATCTCTACACCTAGTGATGGAATATTTCTTTCATTGACTGCCTTGTTTCACTGCCTACAGTGACCCATTTATTCTTCTGAAAACCCCGTCTGATGAAGACGCACAATGTCAGCCTGACTCAAGATAGTAGTGAGCTTTGTGGGCGATGCTGTCCTTGGATCAGGTATTAAACTGTTCAAGTGGACGTTAAAAATTAGAAAAGAGAAGGCATTCATTCTCATGGTGCCCTGCCCAACAATCCTCCAGATAAATTGGTCACTCATTTCATGGCTGTTTGTGGGACACTGTTGTGCGCACATTGCTTGTTATGTTTGCCTACAAATACTGCACTGCACAGAAACTTAGTGACATTATGGAAGCTTTGAGATGTTTCGCAGTGATAAGGCAACATATCAAATCCAAGGATTATTATTTGACTATTATAATAAGTTTGTAACATAATACACATTGGCAATTTGCCTTGACCTTACAGATGTACTGCTGCAGGATAGTTGTGAATGTGCTCTTTTTAAAAAATAGAAAAATTTAAAACAGTAAGTCAGAAATAATTTGTGATGGGGAGACATGAAGCAAGGTCGATTGCATCAAAGCTCACCCCTACACTGGCCACTGAAAGGTGGAAATCTTTCAGGGAAAAACATCTGCAGATCTGGTCTTGATCAGCAATGTCACTACTCCCACAATCTGTTAAAAGACCAATGAAGCAAGGAATGTCGTCCTTTTAGAGATCACTCTGCCTTTGCCAAAGAGCTCCAGGAGCAGCATGCAATACTTGTCACGTACCAATCTTGCAAAAGCAACCCATTGCTGATTCTTATCTCACCTATTCTCACCAAAATGCTTCACATGCAAAAGTAGCCTTAATTCTGTTTGCTAAGCAACGCTTCCGAGTGATGAATTTCAGGTTTTTCTGACAGTAACAACAAGCAAACAAAGCAGATGTAACAGTAGCTCCCAGCAATATCCAGTTGTATTACCATCATCCTGTGAGTCATCCTCTATTCTGTCTTTCCCACCACTCTCTACGCCCGAGGTGTGCGAGCTGCCATGGCTGGTCATTGAGTTGCAGGATTTGAGATTCCTATGGATGGCGTTTCCAGTAAAGCTGTCCTCTGGTCCGAGGTCCCTGTGTTTGGTGTCTGCTTCGATGCCTGAAGTGTGGGAGCTGCTGTGGCTGGCTGTAGAGTGTCTGGACAGACGTTTGTGCTTTGAGCTGCCCATACTGCTCCCGCTAGCCCGCGAACGCTTTTCTAACTGCTCAATGTCCATCTCCAGAGTGTCACTGATATAGGATTCCCGGTACTGCTTTTTTTCTTAGAAGCAAAATGGAAAATTATGTTAAGAGTCTTAGTCGTCTTGGGGTAGAAATTCCACTCATGTCTAGACTTTACTTTCGCCCACAAAATATACAGTCAACTCACTTTACAAGTATATTACGTATATTCTGTGCAACCCTTTGAGATGTCTCGGAAGACATAATTAAGCCCTATATCAAATGCAAGGATTACATTGCTATTTTTATAAGCCTGTTATCTATAGTTCTTAGAAGCACCTATAGAAAATCAGCTTCAAAATTAAAGGCTGATGAACTCTCTTGACTCTGAAATGCTATATTAATAGAACAAATTTAACCCAGGTGGAATTTTATGCCATTCCATTCTTTAAACGAAGTACAGAGCCATGAGATAAGCCTTTCGAAATCTTTTAAATTTTCAGAATGTCAACAATTGCTAAAGGTTGTAAATTAAACAGTGTAAAATCTATAAAATGTGCTGCAATAAAAAAAACCTTTTTTAAAAAAAAACTCACTAATATAGACAACAATGGACGTGTGGGTGTGATTACCAGATCGTAACGAAATCAATGGATTCAGATGCAAGATTTATATCTGTCGCCTGAATCCCAAGAATTGGATTATTTTCTTGAAACCGCTCAGAGGAGTGCAGTTGTTTTGTGATAACATAACTTGTTAATTCTATTCAATTGCTTTTATTGATTTTTGTTTTCATCTTTATGCCAATAGCTGTGTCATGGAACATTGGTCCCACTTGGCTGATGCATACTGATATTCATTGAAGATGGTGATGGGACTTTGCTGCAAGTTTATTGAGGAATAATTTGTAGATGATTACCAGGAAATCCCATATATTGCAATGATAACACTTTTATATATTGAAATAATAAACTTTTGGACAACTCGCAGAACAACTGTGACCCTTGCTATTGGCAGCTTGTGAGTAATTAAGCAGGTTTTAAGCGCTCACCTTTAGATGAATAAATAAATCAGAATTTTATGGGATAAGACCTTAGATGTGCTGCTGTGTGCGGTTAATATTAACAAATGTAATAAGGAATTAAAACAAATGGGTTTGCATTTTAAAAAGGCACTAAAACAGGATAAACACTTAATGTGAGCGAAAACGATCATCAATGAAGGAAATGCAATTTAGGATTCAGGACACATTTAGTTCCTAATAATTCCTTGCATTTTATGGTAGTTGTAAGTGTCCTTCAGTCATCGTCCATCTGTGAAAATTGTAGCAGATCGCAAATGGTCTACAAATGCTTCATATTACTAAAATTGAAAATAATAATTTGTTTATTTTAAAATTGAGGGTTTAAGAGTTCTAAATATAATGGTCACCATTGTCATGATTGTTTGCTTTCTAATGATTATACAAAAACTGTAGATAACGATTATAATTTTCTTGACTGTATGACTGATCTATTCAGATATCCTGTAACCATACGAACGTTTGTGCCATACTCGGTTGGAGAGTAAAGTAAAGTTATTTTGAGTTAAAAAATAAAACATGGCTAGAGGCACATTTCAGAGTAAATTCTGAACCCGAAGCTAATATTTATAGCAGGATCCCCAAAAGCATCAGGAATTGAAAGGATACCTTCATTCTCTTCCAATCTCCTGACCTGTCGCAGGACTGGCTGAAGGTTCATGTAGAGACGATGGCTGTTGCTGAGCAGTTGAAGCAGGTGCCGGGAACGCAGGGGGCAGCCCGTGTAGTAAATGAGTTTTCGAGCTGAGGGTAGACCATCTGGCAAAATCTCAAACTTCTTCCCCTGCACGGAAAGGAGAGAGTGGTGCACTAAGCAGACGCAGCAGGTGACAACATGCCACTAGTATCTCTATAAGCTTACTCCAAAGGGTTCCCACAAGATGGGCTGGGACCATTTGATCTCATCCTTCCAAAATACCTGCCCTATCAGCTGCCCATCACATCTGTATAACTGTACTGAACCCTTTTTGTGAATTAAGACTAAAGGTGCGAGCAGCTAATGTAAAATGGAAGGGACTTTCCAAAGGAAGTTAATAATTTGGTCATTCTTATACTAGGAAGAAAACATCAGATGTTTTACACTGTGCTGAAATAAGTCCCGATAAGATGGATAGTATAGTACAAGAAGAGATACAGTTTGATTGTATCAATGTATATCAGATGGGCTGTTTATATGTCTGCTGGCAAGTCATGTGTACTTAAGTCATTGACTTCCAGCAAATTATCAGTGAAGTGTGTGAAAGAATCAGGGCATGTTTTCCATCCTGAGTCACAGGATGAATGACTTACAAAGCCTTTGATAAGTTTCACTAATACCCTCGAGCGCCTGCTGACACCTCATCAAAAATGATACCATATAAATAGCTTGATTACATGCGTAGTAGTGAATCAGAACAAAGGCCACAGGCCACACTTTGGTTCAAAAATAACTAAGAAACATGTTGCGTTGGCTGTTTACTGCGCTGCCATCCTTAGCCATGTGTTCCCAGCTCACACCTTCTGTGTGCAACCCACTGTCTGAGACTACATCTGTCACAAAGAATTGAATGGAATCTACTAACTCTAAAGGATGAGCCTATAACAAAACATGAAATGGAATCCAAAATACTCCACACAAATTACAAACAAAGAATCCTCGTTATTAAGCGCTTTGCCATTCACAGTTCACTTTATAAAGCGGGTCTCCTGTGGACCCACGATTACAAGAATCCCTTTATGGACATTATAATTGTTCTGAATAAAGCCCTGAAAACTAGGAAGGAAGCAATCTCACCACACTATGTAATATGCATTTTGGAGATTTGGTGGCATAGATGAGTAATAGTTTCTAGACACCTCAGTCCTAATGTCACTGCAAGGAAGATTTAACATAAGATCTCAAGCTACCTCTGAGTAATGCTTTCAAATCAGCAAACAAGAGGATGACTGAGATACTTCAATCGTGAAATGATTCTATTTCTGTCTTCAGAACATATCTGATTATGTTGAGTGAATGCAATTTCCTCCACCTAGTGCTAAGCTTGATTCATCACAAGATCAGTCGTAGCAACAATTGACAACTATTTATCCAGCAGCTTTTATACTTATAGGCACCATTTCATAGCTATGGGGAAAGTATTATGTGGTCGATGTATGCTCTGTTTCTAAGAAACCCCTTCATGCAGAGCAACAGAAAATACTACACTTGCTCTAATCCAGCTGAAAGTCTTTACACTAAGGCCTTCAAAATCTTAACATCTCATGTCCTTTTCGCTTTTCAAGGTTAATTTAATAATGTCCTGAAGTCAGAAATAATTCCTATTCTTTGAGAAATTAAATAAACTGCCAAGTGCAAAGATTCCTTTTCAGGCAATTAATAGCATTTTGTCAACTTTTCCCGCCCCCCCACCCTCCCAACATATCATAACAGCAGAAACATTATTGATATCACAGAAGCCCAAATAGTCTACAATACAGCCAGCAGAAAGGAGATGAATTGAGTTCTGAGGGAAGAAGTTTGAGATCTGCTTGAAGTTCATGATGGTCTAAACGAGATCCTAAAGATGATAATAAACTTCAGAGAATTGCCATTCACCTGTCGGAATGAATTGCCTCCACCTCTGTGATGAAGAGGCTGGTATGACAGAGATGCATTGGCAATAACAGACTAGTTTGGCTTTCATGTTAAGGTTAGACATGTCTGATTGCCTCCAACAAGAACTGAAGTAACCTAAAGGTCACTGATGCCAGTGGAGGTACTTTGGCATCAGGAGAAAATCACACAGGATTCACCAACAGCTCCAGGCATTCAGCTGACGAAAACCCATCTTGTGGAACCCCCACTATATTACAATGCATTTTCCCCTTCAGTAGAGTTGTCTGCTTCACTCTCACGATTAAGCGGACAGTTTCCCAAAATACCCATTTTCAAGCTAGGGCTGATCATCTGAAAAGGGAAAACTGTCTGTCAAGCCTGATGAACATCTAACCAAACCTTTAACATGACGGGATGGGAAAATCATCAATTATGAACAAATAGATTGACAATTCTCAACATTCCATAGCCGTGAGCAAGACGACAGCTGATTAATTCAATGTTTTAAATTCAAGTGTTACTGGATATGAAGATTAACATGCGAAGGGATATCTGAGTGAATATCCAGTAACCCAGTTAAACTGCAATGGGCGAGATTTTTTTTCTCGTCCCTTGTCTCTTAGGGGTGGTGGTAACTCAAAACTAGACCTATAGTCGAGTGGAGCCAACAGGTTGTGGGTCAGAGAGGTGCCAGGGCATGAAGAGGTTTCAAAACGGGTGTGAGGATCTTGAAATTGATCTGTTTGGCGATAGGGAGCCAATGAAGCCTGGCTAGAACTGGTATGATGGGGGTACGGAGTTTAAGAGTCCTACTTCCTACTCATGCTGCTGTTAAATGGTGTGTGTTGGTGAAGCTCTGTGCACTGTATGTGGAGCTCTGTATATTCCAAGCAAGACTTAACAAATACTTTAAGATTCAATTTAAGAAAGATTTGCCCAGTTCCCTGTTTATGCTCTGGCTCAACAATGTGAACAGAGAAGCCCTAGGCGAACAAACTATTTTATGTGTGATTTCTTGTTGACAGACAGTAGACAGATAGTAAGCTCATGCCAAGTTCCACACAGAGTGGGCTCTCTGTTTCATCAATAATATATACATTGTTTTTTTATCTCTCTATTAAAGAACCTTTCACTTACATTGAACGTGTTGTCTCCTTAAATTTAAATCTCTGCAATGGTAAGACTGGAATTATAATTGATAAGACTTGTTAGGATTAATGATTGTATCTTTACTCCAGTGTATGCACAAGCTGTAACAGTCAGATCTCACTGTATGATTCACATTCTCAGAATGGACGCTCTTTATGAACAAGCAAAGGATTTCTGATCGAGCAGCGGTGAATCTCATAAGTTTCTAATTCAGGTTTCACATGTGCAGAACTGTGTAGAACTATTGTTTTATAATATTTAAGGAATGTCCAATATCAGCTGAGACACATTCAACCATTCACAGCAAGTGAAGGCTCCGAGATTCTGCATCTAAACCAAACTTGGACACAGACAACAGGATACGAAACCTGTGACTTACCACAAACACGAGTTTGCCAACATTGGTCCAGGGAAAATCATACAGCAATTGTTTAGATTGGCCCACAACCTGGAAAAGATTAATGACATGGTTAACATGCTTGTCTCGAATAGGACATGGAACTATTATATTTCATAATAGGTGTTTTTTAAATATACTTATTTACAAGGGAAGGAATCCCCCTTTTTTGACTCCTACAATATATTGATCTTGTTTGATCTCGTTTATTCCATTTCCCTTAAAACATTTCAGATCCATCGAAAGTGTTGTAACTTTTTGTTGAAACCCTTTTTGACTTTACCTGAAATATCTGAAGGCCACGAAGAGTTAAGCCCAGCATCAGCGAAGCGTCGATTTCCCTTTTATCCTAAACAGAAAATATTTATTGTCAATGGGTGCAATCCAACAGCCTTTCTGTCCAAAGTGTTGTGCTGGTGGGTGATTGATGTCTGCAGATTTGATCAGGAGTTGGTTATGCTCGTGATAGGGCATCCAATAGAAAAAAAATGCACTAGGAATGATTTCTGATAGTGTTAAATCACAGAAACTCACATGTGCTTTCATATTGAAGTGAAATTTATGAACATGTAATGCAAACAATATGACCTTTTTAGAAAATCTAAATGGAACATTGTAAAATTCTGCCCAAATCGGGAAAATCCCATTATAACGCAAGGGTTTAGATACTGTATTATAACTGTGGGAAAAATAAGCCACTGTACCCAATTCAGGTCAGGGATGACAACACTTTCTGTGTGCTATGCACAGGAAGCAGTGTAGACATAATTTCCTGTATGTGCAAGAAACACCATCAATGTCACTTCCTTCACAAAGTGATGTCAATGGTGCTTCCTGCACATGTACAAAGTGATATCAGTGGTGACCTGATGATCCAGAATGCAGCCCTCTTGTTAGCGTGGTGGCTAATTGTTGCTGAGAGTTGGTTGTATTGCCCAGGTTCACAGTAAGCAAACCAGCGCTCAGCTAGTTTAGGAGCGGTTCTAATGAGGGTTGCCCTGTATTTCAATAAATGGCCTTTAATACATACATTGTTGAAACGCATGAGGAGAACTGGGCAGGGACATTATTTGTAGGGAATCTGTTAATATTGCGAGCTAGAGCTGATAACTCTGAGCCTTTATCCTTCTTGAAAGGACTAGGGTCTGTCCAGTGACGGGATTCTAATCATCCTAAATTGATGCGTGAATGAGCAAGGGCAGCTTAAAGAGAGAATGAAAAACATTTTTTTGAAGACCTAAATGTACAAATCTGTATTTTGTTCCAACAGTAGGGTTGCAAAGAGCACTTTCAAGATCGCTACCACCGGGTAGTAATTGTTCACCCAGTAGGTACTTAACAACTGGACAGGCTATCAGGAAGGGTGATTGAGGTAAAGAAACTGGACATTTAAAAAATAACTTAAGGCTATAACAGGAAGATGGTAAAGTGGGTATTCTGTAAGGATGGGATCAAATGGGCCGAGGACCTTCTTCATCCGAACCTCTTGTGTCCAAAATAAACTAGATATAGACCAACATGACACAATATTTATCATTCAAATTCCCTACTTAATAATAAGAATCCTTGCATTTGATATAGCGCCTTATCATGTCTTCAAGACGTCTCAAAGCTCTTTACAGAATTTACCGTAAAGTGAATTGACTGTATATTTTGTGGGGGAAATATTAAATACACAAATGACGCAAGTTAATACAGAACTGTAATGGATAATCTATCATTAAGATCTGTGAGCTTGATTGCAACCCACACATCAACAGGAAGCCCATTGTCTAATATTGTCATCCCCCACACATGAATTAACCATTAGCATCTGTGTCCAAAACACAACATCACATCTGTTTAGGCTGGAGGCGTTGGGGGGGGGGGGATGGGGGAGTGGGGAGAGAGGGAAATCGACACTAAACATCACATATAGCGATCGGAACCCACTGCTGTACTCGTGCATTATTCCCCAAGGGCTACTATTGTACCCAAGGAATAACACTGTATTTGGTGACTGACATCACAAGGGGTAAAAAGCATCAAACCAAGATTGAATCATGGTGGACGTGAGTTTGCACTCATTTAAATGCCTTTTTAGTCCATTCTTTTTTGGGGGTCAGTAATGATTTTTGAAACTTTCTTTTTCTTCAGGCAACTTTTAGTTCTAATAGAATGAGCTTTGGAAGCAAAAGAAACTCACAGCAGGCAGTATGCAGACAACCACAACTGGTGTGGGATCACAGCGGTCAGTTGGCAACCTTTGATCTGTGGCGGTTACAAGCCTGGATAAAGCATGCTCTGCACTTATTGCTCATTTGACATGCATGGCGTACACACAGGTATAGAAGAATAAGAGTTTTTGCATGCATGGGTTGGTGGGGAGGTCGAGGTTTGTGATTCTGGCTTTATTCCTACGTTGTTAAGTAGATTACAGATGAGCATGGATAGCGTAATGTAATAGCGCCATTTCTGCAAAAAATATCTCTCTGGAGCATCTTCCAACCAGGGCTGACTGTTACTGCATTATAAACTCTTATTGTTGTATGACCGGGACCTCTACTTCACAGAGATATATGCTGAGAAATGAAACACAATTAAGCTGTGTCCACACATCAAAGAGTTGGGTGGCATTTGCAGTTAAAGCTGTACATACTTCTCAGTCCCCATCACCTGAGAGCCCTTGCCCTCCTGACCTTTTTAATCTACTCATTTGCTACAAGGGTCACAATTTTATCATTCAGCCCAGTTCACAGCTTTCATCTCTGAAATGTCACTCTCTGCATTAACATCTGTCCCAAATTATGGTTGGCAATGCCAATATGGCCCCAGGCAACCATTCTACTAACCTGATCACTTGTAACCTTCCCAGGTTGTGAAAGCAATCAGACAAAAGAAATTTCAGTGAATGGAACGTTCAATCAGTCAGTGTTTCCAAATACATTGTGCACATTAATAAGTGGCTATTTTACTTGAACTGTACCCGGTACGGTTCGGTATTGATTCAGTCTTTACCTTGTACAGCCTGTAATAATGAACAGCTACATCATCAAGCTGGACAGCCTCCTTAATGTATTTAAGATGTGCTTCTGAAGCTGTAAGTGCGTACTGGTCCTTGTGCATATTCGGAATGTGTTTCAAAATATAATCTTTTCCTCGCTTCGTTATAACCTGTGTGAGCAAAGAAACCCCATTTTAGATAAAATATTATTCATTAATAATGACAGAAATGTGTGATGAAATGATAACATGGATTGGAAGTATCATTGTGTTGCTACATACCTACCGCATCATCATAGCTGGGTTTTCAACACCCCTTTGCTGAAAACAACGATGATTCTTAAACAAGCATTTCCCATACAGGAGATATCAATACCATTAGCAATGATTCATGTGGAGGATTGAGTGATTCATAGTATATCTTTTTGAAGCATCTACATGTCTGCCAACAAAGGATGTAATCATTTTGTATCCAGACAAATGTTTTAATGTAAATATATAGTGGAAAATTCATTATAGTCTAAACACATGTCAAATAGCATTGATAAGGATGAGTTTTTAATTGAAGCATCAGTTTTTTTGGTAAGTGTCTAATCTTTCCTGGGACAGACAGTGTTTTTCTTGTTTATCTCTTAAAGAACTTTCCTAGGTTGCCACATTCATTGCTGGAGTGATTATAAGCTCACCCAGTGCTGCCAGAACATCCGTCACAATCCTTAAGAAGTCACGACTTGCCCATGAACTGGAACAGAACAGCGTCCCGCTAAGCACTAGTGTCCTTCAGATTCATACCAATGATGGTTTGAATCTGAATCATAAAACCGTTAGAGCCATTCTCAGAGGAAACCTCTTAGGCAGATTAGTGGTGTTATACCACTGAATAGCGTCAAAGCTAAACAGCAGAATCCTGTTCAGCACTACCTGGTCTTCAAGCAGCTTATACCACTGAACACCAATACAACCAAAGAAGATCAGAGTTCTGTTCTGCAGACCCTGCTCTTCAGGTAGATGAGCGGCATCAGCAACCAAGGAGTACAGAATTCACAGCAAGTCAGGGTCTTGCTCAGTGTCAGCTATCCTTCAGATGGAGGAGCAGGCAAACAACTAGAAATGTTGAGACGTCCGTGTTTTACATACGGCTTAACTTTTGGCTGAAGCTTTATAGGAACAGAGGTGACAGGCTGAGAAAATAGAGGGAGGAGGTTGAAATCCAAAGAAGAATTATTGGATGCATCAAACCGTATTGGTGCCAGAAGCTATAAGTACAGGATGTTGGCCTCTTTAAACCCACAGTCTAATCGCTTTAAGTTTCTAAATGTTCCCATGTTTGATTTTGTTAGTTTCCTCCTAATTTCCCACTTTGTTTTTTTCAAAACACAGGAAGACAGCTGGAGACACCCATTAAACTCATAAGGCATAAAGTATGTCGGTTTGGATCATCTTGGGACATTGAATGCTGGCAGAGATTTTTAAAATAAGAGAAAACGTTTCTTGTGGGTAACTCTGCCTCCTCCAGTCTCACCTCTTGTACTCCAAACGTGCACAATGAATATAGATAACAGTTATTTATACTCCAAAGTTATCTATAGGTTTATTCTCAAGGACTTTCAAAGAGAAACATCATGGAAAAAATCATATATTAACGTCCTCAGAGATTTGCTTTAATTGTGGACAACCTCTATTATTTCACAGTTTACAGACTCTCAAGAGTTCTTATTTCTTAATCAGCACTGAACCCTGAATCCAAAGTCTGTGAATATGGAGTCCACAGGAGTGGCATGTTGCTGACAACTATTTTTAGAAAGGCCAGTGATATTTCCCAGGGTTATTACAGGAATCTGTGCGTGTTCCTCGTAGCCACTTTGCTGCACAAACAATCCATTACAAATGTTTTTTTATGCTAATAGCCAGGGGAAGTTTTTTGCTACAGCCCAACTTGATGAAGAATGATGAAACAGCAATTATATATTCCCACTTCTGAACAGGCTGTTATCAATTTATCACTGTGCTGTTAAAGAATAGGGATCTCTGGCATTTGGCTTTACGGACTCCATTGTTCAGACTATCAAAAGATTAAATCTTTAAAACATTCCATTCAACATACTCAACCCACATACAAGAAAGAGCTGCATAAATAGCAAGCTGTGCCATAAAGATGAACAGATATCTTGGATGGAGTTTTATCTAGCTATGCTTTAAGCAAATTGCGTCCAGAGTAACATATTCTGCATCGTTGCCTTGGATGTTTAATACAAATATTCCAAACTGCTTTTTTATTCATGAGCTAGTTGATGCAGATGCCAAAACAACTCTTGCATCAACAGCTCCAGATCATTTGAAGTTATTATAAATTCCACGATTTTGTAAAGAGGTTGTAAGAACTACAAGAGAATGTTTTGTAGATGTGATCTCCAAAAGGTTTTACAAATGCAGACTGTTCCATGACCCAGAGAACACGCTTCAAGAAATATACTCGCTTAGGTTTTGTTCTAACAGGCCGAACAGCATAGTATAAAATGGTGGGAAGTGTTACAGTTGCTGATATCATATGATATGAGGGAAGGGTAATACAAGGTCCTGATTCAGGGCCTACGCTTCTGGGTGTGTGCACTGCACGTCTATTCATTGTCATTTCCATTCATGATCTGGTGGAAGTCATCAAAAGTGACACTGCTGCCAGCAAAGAGATTGCCACCTTCGATACCATGAACTCTTCAACTGAAAGACAAGAGATTAAACAACTGCCGATAGACACGGAGATAGTGGGCCTGTGGGTGGGCAAATAATGCGTCATCTTCAGCACCAGAAATACCACGTCAGGAACTCTGTTGAGAAACATGGAGTGTGATCTTTTGCCCACCCACCTGATGAACCTTTCAACCTGGTAATCTAGTCATGGGAGAAGAAATGCCATAAAAAGGCCTTACCCAAGGTGGAAAGTACGATTCTGGCTCAAAATATTTTCCAAAATGCTTGTGCCTCTTATAATTGCCAAGGTCCGCTTGTAATGCGTAGGCTGCAAGTAGAAAGTAGGCTTCCTCATGCAGCATGCATTGAGATTGGAGAACTTGCTTCCTCAAATGCCAGTAATAATAGTATCTTGCTGTTCGGTCACTGCAAGGAGAAATATGATGGATTAGAAACTTGGCATCCATGTAAATCACCAAAGTATCAGGGAAACTACTATGAACTGAAGACAATTCTGCAATATCTTTTTTGAATAACACTAGTGTAATCATTCTCAGATGGCAAAGTAATTTGGAGGATATTCTTAACATTTTCTAGGTTTCATCACCCAGTAGATACATTTTAAGAAATTTAATGAACATCCCAAAAGTAGCTTAACAATAGAGTCTCTAATCTAAATTTTAAAACTACTTTAGTTTGTATCTCATTGATCCCTATGAAGATCTATGCAAATGTGACACGTGACAGCACTTTGAGACTTTGAGTTTGTTGCTACAGGTGCTACATCAACCTCAAGGATCATCATTATTACTCTTCAAACATGATAAAAGGTCGTACCCTATTAATCTTCCATTCTCCACATAGTATTGTACCCTGAAGTGGACAATCATTGGAGGACCAAACTGGTCAATGCCCTGTGTAAACAAAAAGGAAAAGGGAATTACACTGTATCACAGCAGAGTGTCCATCCCAAGGCATCCAGAGTCAAGCAACCAATACACAATCTCCTTCCGCGGTGGGGTTCCCAAACACGCACAAGAATTCTAATTCACACTTGAGACCTAATTTTACCTAATTCACCCCTTTTTTTTTAATCTTTCAATCCTTGTTTAAAAAAGAATAGTTTTAGAAACTCCAGTGTTAAGATTTGTTTTAGCAGAGAAGATGAACATTGTGATTGTGATTAATGGTGATTTGCACAGGTATTTGCAAAAGGGAATAAAATTCGCAACAGTTGAAAAACAAGCCAATAATTCAGCTGGGCCAATTCAGATTACGTGAAATCAATTATGCGATGGTTCCATTGGTAAAAAGATTGCTTGATGCAAATCTTTGAGTTATACAGGCCACTAAATCAACCCCTGGTCTGGGATATTTTAGCTGATCCCAGCCAGAGAACTAGTGTGTACTATAATTGGCCTATGAGTACTAATTACGAAAGGGAACAAATAATCTGGGATCTCACTCAACTACAAATGTGAACATGAGGCGAGACAGGATTGGGCTCAGCTCTGAGATGCTTCACGAGTGAACCATCTGCTGACAGTTGAAGTCTCTCATATAACAAACTGGACACTGGACAAGAAACCATATCCCTCCAAGAGTCAGGGCTTTCAGGAAAGATGACAGTCCGAGGAGGGTGGGGGGAGGAGAATATCTGTTATCTCACAGTAATACCAGACATTTCCACCGCATTATATCATGTTACATTTTTCATAACTGTTGTACTCCTGTATCACCATCCCTCCCAGCCCCACCCACATAACATGACATAACATGGAATAACCATCGTGTGGGCAGTGATGGCTGTAAAAAAAATCTCTGGGTTCATATGAGATTTCACAGATGGTTCGAGGTTTATTTTTTACATGAACACTTCAGTTGTGTTTTCAGCCTTGTACCACGTGCCAGTCCCAACAGTTATTTCACATGAAATGCACAAAAGGCAAGCAGACAGCAGAATTCATCAAAACTTATTGCTGAGTGTTGCCCGGTAAAAATGTAAATTAAAATTAGGGCCAACTCAACAATGGGTTTTTTTGTGCTGTAGTTAAACAGCTGGTAATAAATTCTGCTGTACTGGAACTCACTTTGCTTACTTCCTTCTTCCATTCCTTCGGACAATACTTGCAGAGTTTCTGCATCGGCTCCATATAAACATGTTCATTGTCTGCATCAGACAAGAAAAGGAAAAATCAGCACCGATAGATTAATAGACACTCTTGAGTGGAAAACTTTGTGGTTAATGGGAAAACACTATCAATTATATCACAGTTAACCTTTGCTGCCAGTGTTGGGCTTAGATTAATGTTACCCTCTGTATTTGAGTTCAAAATTGCTCAGAACTGAAAAGGATGGGATATATGTTTCTCAACTGATTAATTCTTTCTAAATCAATCTATCGGGGAGCTTATCTGGACATCTCCATTCGCGGGAGTCAACACATTTGCAGTAGAAATACAAGACTAACCGGCTTTATAAATGTTCAAGAACAAGTTTTGAGAATAATTATGGATTGCTTCATAAAGGTTGTAAATTCCCATTCTTGGCCATTAGGAAATAGAAACAATAATGAGAGAAAGAAAAAATATCAAGGACTTTAGATGAACTATATTTAACTTATTGGGATGCCAATATTTTTTCAATGGTACGAAATCATCTTAAACAAAATACACCGAAAACCTTGATTTTTTGAATACCAATTAATCTTATTCAGTTTAACTGGAAGTGTATATTGGTCCAGGGTCAAAGCGTTTTATTACAGATATCAGCAGAATTTATGGAATTCAGTTCTGAGTCTCCACTCTTCCTAATTAAGGTGGAATATGAAAAACATATCCTTTTATCTGTTCGTTTGTTAATCTTGAATTTGTTTCTAAAAGGAGGAAGTACTGGTACTTTTTGGACCAATTTATCTAACTTATTTTCTTGGGGGGGAAATACATGCATTTAAAATTAGAACAAAAATAATGCAACTTCCCAGTTTTCACTTTGGGGTGAAGAAGGGTGCACTTGACAGCAGCAAAAGAGTTTGCTAAACACAGCCTAAGATTTTTTTAGCACAGTGAGACAATGTAAGACCCTCAGCAGCAAAACCAGCACCCCAGAGACAGTCGCCCAATTTACAGGCTAACAATTTACATTTGCATTCACTGCTCAGTATGAATATTCTTCAGTCATAATATGAAGAGAGAAGATTCCATAATATCAAGCCTTCGACTGTACAACAGAACCACACTGTGAAGCAGTAAATAACATAAATGCATTATTAATCTCTTCACTTAGTTTAAGACTCGTTTGATTACTTCCAACATTATCTTGTGCTTTGGTCTCTAATTGCTTGTTTTACTTGCAGCACTAATTTGAATGCAAGACTATATCATAGCCTTGAAGCCTGCAGGATGTAAAAGCCAGTTGAACTTACTTTGCTAAACTTCCTGCCATCCATTCTACACATCTATATTTATATCCCAACTGGAAATAAATAGTCAGAAGAATGTGTAATTGATGCCACTTGCATTATAAGCAAAGCACAGTGAGAAACAATGAGATATGATGAAATTGGCTGCCGCGTTTTGCCGACAAATGTACGTCAATTCACTTTACAGTCTATTTTGTGAAGTGCTTTGAGACGTCGAGAAGACGTGAAAAGCGCTATATCAAATGCAAGGATTATTATTATTATTATTAATGTAGGATCACTGACAAACTGGTATAAGAGGCTTTCAGCCTCATTAGCATTGTAATACAGTCTCCAGCCTGACTTACTTTGTATGACACTGAGCCCGAACAGATGACAGTCTTTCAGCCTTACAAGATCACAGACCTGAATGAATAACTCTTGGCATAAAGTTTTAACCTGTGGAAAGAAAAACAAAGTTATATTTTTATAGTATAAGTAGATTCAAAACACAGAAATCTCTATTTTTCACAGGTAAAGAAACACAGAATTCAATACCCATTCTGAACAAATCTTGGATCTACTCTCATAACTGTAATAATGTACCTTCCTTAGATCAGAGAATGATATAGGAATTATGCCAAACAACAGAGTAAGTATATTACTAGGCTGTGCTTTTACACTCATGATATTTCTTAATAAAAATGTAAGTCGACAGTCAGTCATGAATGGACCCAATTCTCAAAGTAGAGAATTTTTGCAGTTTCCATTGTCCTTGGGGCCTACAAGCCAATATCCACAATTCGGGCTAATGTTACAAAGGATCAGTGACTCATTCCAGGAGTGTGCCATTTTTTGCAGTGAACGTATTGAGAGATTGACTGAGGCAGTGCACGGATTCCATGTGCTATTCCTCTCACTTTTAGCCATTTTGCTTCAAATGTTACATTGATAACATTCTGCAACTGAATCAACCAGCGTTCTGATGCGCATTTGACTCTTTCGCCAAGCAAATAAAAAGCAAACACTACTGCTACAGCCTTGTGCAACTGTTCTTGAAGGGCTAGCTTGGTTCAAAGTAAAAAACAAGAATATTATGAAGCGAGGGCACTAGGATACTGAAGACCTTTATTTCAGAGGACACCTTTATCTCTCTCCTCTCACTCTCTCTCCCTCCCATACTCGGCTAGCTTCCTAATACCTGCAGCAGAGGGCAACAGCAATTTAGAGTGTGTATTAATCTAGCTTTGCAATTGCTGCTCGTGTTAATAGGATCTGAAATCAACCGCACAGTTAAGTCTTAGATTCTTAAGATTCTTAAAAGGTCAAACTTAACATTCAAAGATAACGGTTTGTGTTTAACTAGCCCTCTCACATTGGGAGGGCTTCACACCATTGACTGGGAGTGGGTGGGCGGGGGGGGAGGTGACCGAAAGGGAGGGAGTAAGACAGACTTCAAGTTAAAGTTCCGCAGAGGGGAGGCAGGATGAGTTAAAGTTCACCCACTGACGGGGGGAAGCAGATTGAGACAGGGGACATGAATTAGGCTGAGATGCATGGGAACAGGAGGAGAGAGAGATGAAACAGCAGCTGCACACACAATGACTGTGGCTACCCATTCCTCCAAAGAGGGAAATGTTGCATGGGGAATGATATATCATATGAGAAAAGGCTTCATTTCTTCTCCTCTATTAATCCTTGAATTAGGTAACAAACTGTGCATGATCATTTTAGCATTACAGCCACAAATGCTGTGATCATTTTGGCTGTGAACATAATGTGAGAAAGGCTAACTGTTTGATCCTAATTCGACAATGTTCCTCATAAGTTAAAGGCTTTGATCATTGAACGGAAAATAAATCATGTGAATTCATGTGAAAAAAGTTTTGTTTAGTTGGGTTAATATATTCTGACAAAGTCACAAATAAATACAGAAAATGTTAGCAACCATCCTTTCCTGAAGGCCCATCTCACCCCAGTCTAGTTGAACCCAATTAAATAATTGAAATTGTTCTTTGACACAGCTCCACAGTATGTTGGTGACCAGTATGTTGTGGCACAGGGGCTGTAGGATTTGGGCTTGAACCAGCAATTCTCCACACAATTAATCATTGACCTTGGCTGAGGTACCAGGGAGCGAGTGAGAGTTTCTTGTAAGGCAGGGAAAAGCTATTCAGAGGAGGGTGGTAGAGGCATTCACAACCACTTGTTAATGAACGGCTCCACAGTTGCATTGGCAGAAGGAGCAGGTTGCCTGCAAGCTCACCCAGAAAGACAATGGTGCCTGTAGCTACAGAAGGGAGCTCAATAAAGGTCAATTCTACCACTGCACACCTGGCAAGATAGATAAAGACCCTGAGACATGTCAACATTTTTCATTGTCAATGCCCTCTTGAATTTCTGCGCTAAGTCCCTCTTTTAATCATAGAATCATAGCATTATACAGCACAGAAGGAGGCCATTTGGTCCATCGTGTCTGTGCCAGCTCTTTGAAAAGAGCTTTCCAAATCAATCCCACTCCTCCGCGCTCTCCCCATAGTCCCGCAAACTTGTTCTCCCCAAATAATTATCTACTTCTCTCTTAAAAGTTATTATCGAAGCGGCTTCCACCACCCTTTCAGGCAATGCATTCCAGATCTGAACAACTCGCTGTGTGAAAAAGTTTCTCCTCAACTCCCCTGTTTCTTTCAATGACTAATTTAAGTCGGTGTCCTCGGGTTACAGACCCACCCACCAAATGTGGATAAAAGGGGATCAGTGCTGCTTGTATCCACATTTGACTTCATACAGAGCTTTTATACATGTTAAAAATACATTAGCGAGAATATTTCGATCCTATAAAGTGTCACAGACCAATTTGGGATGAACTATAGTAACCTTTATAATTTTTGTAAAATTCAACGTGAATTTGGGGCCCAGAGGGTTAAATGCCAGCCGAAGAAAAGTTGCAGGAATTTGGACACAATTATCGGGGAAGATCTGTCGATCCATGCCAGAAAATGCCAGCGAGTCAGTCAGCCAATGTGTTGTAAAACAAGAAAGTTAAACTGAGCAGAGATAAGAAAATCATAGAGAGAGACCTACGTTCACAATTATATTGAGAGTTTCATCGTTTGGGAGGAAAACACAGACGCTCCGGCGGTCCTGCATTACTTTGTTATTTTGAAAGGTGAACTTGCTCATCACGCCAAGTAGGCTGTCAGGTGTGTCTCCTCGGCGCCCCAGGGTTCTTCCGACAACGTACAAGTCAGAGCGCTGAGCTGTAGTGAACTACAGCGGCAGGCAAATCCTCTTCATCACACGCTTCGTAGGAGGCAGGGCGGCTCTGCATGTGTCATTACACTCCCTGGACCTGGATAGGAGGGAAAGGTTGTATTATCATCACCATCATCGTTGTCGTCAAGCAGGAAATGCTCAAACAAACATTACACTGTTATTTCATGAATATTTCTTGGGCAAGCCAAGACACAACCGTAGATTTAAATGCTGCTGCATTTACATTAACTAACATCATTCGTTTAAAGGCCAGTCTTAGAAATACTTTAATTAGATAGCAGCAGAAAAATCAGCCACATCATTGATAATGAAGTGCGCTTCAACAAACTTGTTACACGTCACATGAGCTAACAGAGCTGTTACCATCTTGATTTCTAAAACTTCACGTTGAAAGGAAATGTTATGAAGCTGGTACATGGAGAAAGGGAGTGTTAATCAAAGGGTGCTCATTAGAGCAAAAGGATTTTCTTAGTGGAGAAGCCTCTTTGACAGAATGTCAGTAAGCTCAATGTGTGCAAGGCATTAAACTCAAGATGTGGTTGTTTTGAACTTTGAAAAGTGTGTCTTTGCTGGAAGGAAAGTGAATACAATACGTAAAATATTCGGGTGAAAAAACATCTTGCAGAAAATCCTTCAGGGTCAGTCACTTTGTGACTCCTCTCTGATTTATTTCATAAACAACACCAACAAAATTACATCAGCAAAGAAAGGGTTCTTTACAACAGTATAGAACAACCATTAAAAACTGTGGTAACCACTGTGTAATAACTTCCTTAAAGTGAACTTAGTGTTGATAAAGCTTTAGAAATAGTCCTCAACACTGTAGCCTGAAGCATGAAATGCCGATGGCTTCAGTTCTTAGGCAATGGGTGTTATTGGATTCCCAGAATATCTTCTGTCGGCTGGAGAAAACAGTCCTTCTACTTAAAAAGTTAATGAAAAAAAGTAAGAGTCAATTTATCCTTTTCTTCAAAGCTTCAGTTTACTTTCTCAGTTTTCAGTCCGAGTGCACTGAAGTTCGTTAAAACAGTGATGGCTTTGCATGGACAACAAAGGAACAATTTAAACAAACAGCAACCACTCTGGCAAAATTTTCTTAATTAAAGCCACTTCCATCTTAAATTAAAAGTAATCCAATATATAGGATTGTTGATTTACCAACGTATTACTAACTAGACCCATATCACAGTCCTGATGTTAGAGACCTCATCTTACTCCAACGCTGAATGGTTGGAAAAAGTACCTTTACTTGTTTGCTCTTTGTAAGCAAATAAAAGTGAAAAATCAAATGTTACATTCACAAAGTCCAGGAGAGAGATTCCTTAGTGATTAATATTGATCTTTCCCACCCCACAATATTGCATTGGAGTGTCAGCCTAGAACCGTACCGAGTTTAAAATCCAAACATGGATTGAACCCACAACCTTCTGACTCAAGAGGCTTGGAGTGCAACCAACGGAGCCAAACTGACCCAACACTGTACAATGAAACAATAAACCACACATCAAACCCCAGGCATTTTTTTTCCAATTTTTCCAAAGAAAAATATTTACAAAGAGGTAATATATTCAGTACCTGTTTGGAGAAGAAAAAATAATTACCCTGATCAAACTACTAGTAAAATCATATTTCACTGCCAAATGATTCAGATTATACTGAGTTTTCTGCAAGCAGTTAGTATTAAACATTATGTTTATCCCAATGGGGTTCTTGCCTGTATTTTTTCTTTGAAATTTCTGTATGAGCATTGCTCCATTGCCTCTTGAATTCCCACAGCTGGATTGTTGGGATTTTCCTGTGATCACAACATCAATCTTCGTACTCAGGTGATAAAAAAAACTTCACACAAGATATTAACTACTTGAATGATGTCAAAGACAACAATATTGGCACCTGCATGCAAAGCAAACTTCCAGTGTTAAACCAATGGACTGTGTTAAACAGATCACCAAATGGAATTCATGGCAATCTTACAGACCTGAAAAATGTTATCCTCTACGGGTGTAAAAAAGTGTACAAAAAGTGCTGGGGTAAGGAGAATTCCTTTCAAAATCCACTCCTAATTTACATAATAAAATCTATGCATCCAGCATGTACATAAAACACTCGGTTGATCGATGGCAGGTACGTCAGTGATTGATTCAAGTGTCAGTGAAAGTTGTTTAATTGGCAGGTTCGCAATAAAGTTGGAAGCTATAGCTACTTTTTGCTTAATTGTTCATTTTCAGAAGCCATCATCTGTTTCAGTTAGCTTTAGCATGCACTCTGGTACTTCTGATCTACTATAAGTAACTGATAAGAGCCACACAGCACTGTGTAATCTCACTCATCCCACACAATAGGTCAGGACTGACAAAACTGATAAGATGGCTGGTTATACCAGTTCTGACTGTTAGTGAAACCCGGGATATATTTGCTTCCTTTAGTTTCTTTTCTTTATAAGAAAATCTCTCAAATCTCTAACTAAAGTCTTTGCTCTTTTTTTATTAGTGTCACTTTGGCTAAACAAAGGGAAGACCTTTCAATGCACACCTGGATTCAAAGATATTAGAAAAGCTGTTACAAGAATCCAATATATTAGCATTGTGTATTTTGTGGATAAAGTATATAATGAATTCCCTTTACTAAACGTTGTTAAACTGGCTTTGGCTGATGAGTAACATTGCCGAATATTCAAATAATCTCACTGGATGTTCAACAGTTTGTGGTGACTTCTGGTGATTGACTAGTCAGCGTAGCTTATTAGCAGGACTTGAAGGAACAAGGCCAGTCACTGGGGGCTGGGAGTCTTCCACTCACTGCCTGTTAACCTTGCAAGCCAAATGCCTAACTAGCAGGGTGGTCCTGTCTGGACAAGCAACGGGAAGGAAGCTTGCCGATGTTCACACGTCATTTTAAATATTAAAAAGGGAGATATCTGTTTATTTATTAATTCTGGTCACCATTCTGTATTTTAATGTTTAAAATTGTTCATTGGAAGCAGCCTGAGAAAAGGCATATTATGTGGCACTCCCTACTAGTGGTGAATGGCGAATGCTGTGTTCATTCAGCATACTTCTGTAACAGAACTCCATTATGTCACACCGGGGGAGGATTACAGAACGCTCTGACTAGAAGTTTTAAAGAATGAACTTCAGTAACAAAGAATGATTGAGGCATAGAGAATTTTACAGCTAGCTCTTTTATACATCAGGGTGTTTCTTTGCCCATTTAATAAGATATGTTTCACTTCTCAGAAGATGTTCAGTCCAGATCAAAGCTACTGATAAATTAGGCGGCGTAATTTGCATCAAGTACGAAATTTATCACAAACCAAATCATGCTATACATGCTCTTAAACTATCGAGCTGTCAATTTCCTATCTGCATTATGGACAACTGGTGAGATCGTTTTGTGCAGCAGACCTCACACTCAGGTCCACAAATCCAATATCCCATCCAAGGAATGCAAAATACTTAGTGCTGCAACAATCATCTGCTCCTACAGAGTATTTATTAAATGTGTAATTTACAGAACATTCATATTGCACAACTTTAATTTTCATTTCACAGGCTGTCCAATTCAGACAGCTTGCACCTTTTTTTATATAATGTCCGGGGGAAGGATAAACCATTGAGTGGTTGTACAGTCAGATAATAATAATAATATTCATAATCCTTGCATTTGATATAGCCCCTTATCACATCTTTGAGACGTCTCAAAGTGCTTTACAGAATATACTGTAAAATGAATTTTGTGGGCGAAACGAGTAATGTAATCTTAATTTATGGATGCAACCAAAATAGTCCATATATTTAGTTGAATGGATGCTTGTCCTGCATAATCTAACTGGAAATAAAGTTGTCCCTTTTACATCCATGAATATGCATTACACAGTTACCATGCATTACATGTATTTATATTTCTTAAAAACGCCTACCCCGCATTGTCCTTTCTTTCCTCAGCACTATCTCTGAGAACATTAATGTCCCAGGGAACTGAAAGCAAAAGTAGCAATTAGGAAAACAGTTGGCTGTCAGGCAGGATCAATCTTGTGTTAGGTGCAGATTCTGATGGATTAAGGGCTCAGATTCTGATAGATGAAAGGCTCAAACGGAAGAACAGCCAATATGGTACCAGCTCCTAACAGTTCAAGAACAGCAATAAAGAAACTGCAAACAAAATGAATTTACTTCACAGCTTGGAGATGACTGTAGAAAAGGGCAGATTGATGCGAAATATCCAAGGACACAGAACAAAAGCCTTGAAAAGGAAACCAGGGATAAGCACATCAGCCCATTGGAGAGGGTAAAAGGTTGAGTAACACACAGTCAAACAGGAAAGCATTGTAAATTTATTCCCTGCACAAAAAATAAAAAATAAAAACAATTTTCAAATTGTTTCAATAAATATTCTAATGTTATTGTGTACTTGTAAGAAATGTGCACTGTATTCCTTCTATTAATTTCAAGACTTATTTTGCATTTCCGTGTGCCTTTTAAATAACACCAATCTTTCTGAACCTTTTGCCCAAGCAAGCTAATGGTACTAACTAGTTGGAGGTCTGTTTCACCGAGGACAATCCTCCAAAGTTATTGTTTATCAACAAGAGGTTCTGCAGAAGGAATGTCTAATGGCAGAAAAAAGTTCTTTAGAAAAATTCACTTTGGTGGGAACACACAGGAGCAGCATTAATCGAAACAAGGACTAAAATGGGCTATACAGATTCAGAGTAGATCCTGCAATCCAAACAATTCTTGGTGTTGACACGGTGTTTGTCTCTTGTTCATTGCGACCAGAACTAATGTGCAGTAATGCATTTCTGTGGCTGTCTCCATGCATTAAGGCAGCACAGCTGTCTTTGTCATTTTCATTGACTGATTGAGAAGTCTACTCTGATGTGGTATTTACTAAAGCTATTAGGGTCTAAATTGTAGGTGTAAAACCTACCAGACTTGTAGTTGAGCTTTGACTGGAAAAATTAGTATTAGTGGTAATAACAGCTAAAGTAACATTGCAAACTGTATTATCACTGGTAATAACACACAGTAACAGATGATACCAAGTGGAAATGTTTAGAATTCTAATCATCAGCTC